TCGGGCTCCCTGCATGGAGCCTGCTTCTCCCTCTGCCTGTGTCTCTGCCTCTCTCTCTGTGTGTCTCTCATGAATAAATAAGTAAAAAATATTTTAAAAAAAGTAATGGGCAGAAAAGATGAACAGATATTTCTCCAAAGAAGACATACAAACAGCCAATGATACATGAAAAAATGTCCAACATCACTCGGCATCAGGGAAATACAAATAAAAAACACAATGAGATACCACCTTATACCAGTCATATGGCTAAAATTAATAAGTCAGAAAATGACAGATGTTGGCAAGGATGTGGAGAAAGGGGACCTCTCTGACACTCTTGGTGGGAATGCAATCTGGTACAACCATTGTGTGGAAAACAGTTTGGAAGTTACTCAAAAAGTTGAAAATAGAGCTACCCAGCAATTGTCCTACTGTATATTTACCTGAAAGATACAAATATAGTGATATGAAGGGGCACCTGCACCCCAATATTTATAGCAACAATATCCACAATTGCCAAACTATGGAAAGAGACTTGATGTCCACCAATAGATCAATGGATAAAGAAAATTATATATATATATATACACACACACACACACACACACACACACACACACACAAACACACACACACACACACACTCAGGCATCAAAAAAATGAAATCTTGCCATTTGCAATGGTGAGAATTGAACTATAGGATATAATGCTAAGCAAAACAAGCCGATCAGAGAAAGATGATTATCATATAATCTCACTCACATGTGGAATTTAAGAAACAAAACAGAGGATCATGGAGGAAGAGAGGAAAAAATAAAACAAGATGAAATCAGACAGAGGGATAAACCGTAAGAGACTCTTAATCATAGGAAACAAACTGAAGATCGCTGGAGGAGAGGCAAGTGAGGGTTGGGTAACTGGCAGATGGAAATTAAGAAGGCCATGTGATATAATAAGCACTGGGTCTTATACAAAACTGATGTTTCACCAATCTATACCTTCGAAAACAATAATACATTATATGTTATTTAATTGAAATTATTTTTAAAAGATTTTATTTATTTATGCATGAGAATACACAGAGAGGAGAGAGAGAGGCAGAGAGGGAGAAGCAGGCAGGGACCCGATCCTGGGTCTCCAGGATCATGCCCTGGGCTGAAGGCAGCGCTAAACTGCTGAGCCACACGGGCTGCCCTATTTAATTGAAATTAAATACAATTTTTAAAAAGTACAAAATTGATTTTAAATTAAACTTCTTTAATTAAGAACTTATAGGCATCAAATAATAATATCAGAAAGCATAAAGAAAAAGCTGTTAGAAAAGGAGCAACAAATAAAACCTAAAACCAGTAAAAGGAAGGAAATAATAAAATTTAGACTAGAGTTAAATGATATTGAAACTACAAACCAATAGAGCAGATCAATACAACCAGGAGCTGCTTCTTTGAATAAATTCAATAAAATTGATGAACTATTCACTAGGCTTATCAAGAAAAAAGAGAAAGGAACTAAATAATAAAAGAAACTAGTGATTTTTTAAATGATGTTTTAATCATTAGTATGATTAAATAGAAATAACCAACACGACAGAAATACAAATAAGTATGAGATTATTATGAAAAACTATATGCCAACAAATTGATAAACCTAAAAGAAATAGACAAACTCTTAGAAACATAAACTACCAAAACTGAAAAAGGAAGAAATATATTTTTTTAATTTTTTAAAGAACAAACATTTATTGAATACTTCACATGTACCAGGTGCTGATATACTGATAAAAATCTAAATATCTCGTCAAAATACCAAGTGATTTTTAAAGTATATTAAAAATTATCAAAAGTAGGACAATCAGGTACTGAGAAACAACAGATGAGATCCCCCACACCTCCTGAGCACTGTGCCAGGGCAGCAGGCTCTGCAGCTCAGGCTGGGCTTCCGCTGCCTTGATGAGCAACTGCACAGTCCCTGATTTTCAATGGCCCAGGTTCCTGCCTCTATGCCCACCAGCTCTGGAGTGCTTCTTGAGGATGTGAACACAGTTGCTAGCCCAGTTTGAGAAAAAAAGAAAGCTCTGCTTGGCAGTGCCATGCATCACTTCTGATCAGGTTTTATTAGCAAAGCAAGTCCTATTGGGTGGGGAAGTGTTATACCTCCTCCTTCCTGTTTTTAAAGTTTTTATTTTAAAATGATTCTAGATTCACCAGAAATTGCAAAAATACTATGGAGAGGTCTTAATCAAAGAATCGCACCCAGGAAATGGACACTGGTGCCATAGGCCCCACTCAGAGCTCACAGCATTACATGCTTGCACATGTGCCACCTAATGCCATTTTGGAGTTTTGTGGCACCGCTGCACAATCAAGATACAGAATAGTTCCAGTTCCACCAAGATCTCCCTTTTTTTGGTCCCTCCATCCCCATCTTAACCTCTGCCAACCACCAATCTGTTCTCCATTCAAGAATGTTACATAAATGTGAACATAGTATGTAACCTTTGGGGACAGGCTTTTTTCACTCAGCACTAGGCCCTTGAAATCCATCCAAGTTGCAGCTCTCAGTAATTACTTGGGACAGCTAAGGAGGAAGTGTTCTGTGATGTGGCTGAGTAATGAGAGTAATGAGGAACTTTGTCTAGTGTGCTTCTCACCTCTTTTTTTTTTTTTTTTTGCTTTAGTGTTTGGTTTGCAGATGGCACAGTCAGTTTTTCTGGCAGCTTGGAGCATTTAAGGAGGCTTTGGCTTAGGGGGGAGGGGCTGTGCCCACAAAGAGGGTACCTGGACTGCATTCCTGTCATTCCTCCAAGAACCAGGGTGAGGAAGAAAAATCCAGGATGCTTTCAGATACAGTTCCAAGGACTAGCAACTTCCATGTTGGCAAGTCGTTTCTCCTTGAGGGGCTGGAGCAGATGAGGGCCCCTTACAAGTCTTCCTGTGAAGAATCAGCAGTCCACTGGGTAAATTCAGGCCAGGTTCAAGGGGACAAATGGCCTGAGGCATTGTTCCTAGGTCCTAATTCAAGTCTTGGCCAAGCACTAAACTGTACTTCAGTTTTTTCTACCTATTCTTAGGTGAGGAGAGCAGATTTTAGTGGGTTCAAAGACTTCTCACTCTAATTCCATGGGTTCAAGTTGGCAAAAGCACCCTCTGGAAATGCCGTTTGTATTAGTGCATTTAGATTTCCCAGTCTAGCCCAGAATCATAATTCATATAACAGAAAAACTTATTTCCCAAGTTTCCCAGGTGTGTTTTGGAACAAACTTGCACATCTTCACGCCAAGAAGTTTTGCTGTCTTTTCTTCCATGACAGTACCTATGCACAGCAGAATCTTGCCCTGAGTCAGATACTTGATGGTTTCTGATGTTTTTCTGAGACACTCCTTAGAAATGTAGGGAGGATCTGCTACTATGATGTCCAACTATGTGAAGCAATTTTTTCAGTTAATCCAATGGATTATTTATTTTTTAAAGATTTTATTTATTTATTATTGAGAGACAGAGGCAGAGACACAGGCAGAGGGAGGAGCAGGCTCCATGCAGGAAGCCCAATGTGGGACTCGATCCCGGGACCCCAGGATCACACCCTGGGCCAAAGGCAGGCGCTAAACTACTGAACCACCTGGGCTGCCCTCCAATGGATTATTTTAATGGGCACATAACCATCAAGAAACTGAATCAGCAGTCAAAAAACTCCCGACAAACAAAAGTCCAGGGCCTGATAGATTCACAGGTGAATTATATATTTTTTTAACATTGAAAGAAAAAATAAAGCCTAATCTTCTCATACTAGTCCATAAAATATAAAAGGAAGAAAAACTTCCAAAATTCATTCTAAAAGTCCAGGATTACTCTGATATCAAAACCAGATAAAGACAAAACTAAAAAAGAGACTTAAAGGCTAATAACCCCGATGAACATGGATGCAAAATTTTTCAGCAAAATAATAGCAAACTTAATTCAACAATACATTGAAAATTCATTCACCATGATCAAGTGATATTTACTTCTGGATTGCAAGTGTGGTTCAGTACTCACAAATCATCTGATGTAATATATTATATCAGTACATTTAAGGATAAGAACCATATGATCATTTGAACAAAGAGTTTGTGTCTGTTCAAATACATTGTCAAATATCAATGCATTTTGCATTTGACAAAATACAACATCCATTCATTGAAAAACGCTCAATAAAGTAAGGACAGAGAAAACATGACTCAACTTAATAAAGGTCATATATGAAAAACCCACAGCTAACATCATCCTCAGTGAGCAAAAACAGAGATTTCCCCTAAGGTCAGGAACAAGACAAGAACATCCACTCTAACTACTTTTATTCAATTAGTACTGGAAGTCCTAGCCACAGCAATCAAACAATAAAAAGAAATTAAAAAGAAACATTAAAATCAGTAAGGAAGAAGTAAAACTTTCCATATTTGCGGATTACAGGATACTCTATATAGAAAACCTGAAAGATCCACTTAAAAACTGCTAGAGCTGATAAATGAATTCAGTAAAAGCACAGGATATAAAATCAATGTACAGAAATCTGTTACATTTCTATAAACCCATAATGAAGCAACAGAAAGAGAAATTAAGAATACAATCCCACTTATAATTGCAGCAAAAATAATAAGATACCTAGGAATGAACCTTACATATGAAAATATGTAAGAGTGATGCATGATATTGAACTGGACACAAAGAAATGGAAATACAATCCATGCTTATGGATTAGAAGAACAAATATTTTTAAAATGTCTATAATACCCAGAGCAATCTACACACTTAATGCAATCCCTTTCAAATCACCCCCAGCATTTTTCACAGAGCTAGATCAAACAATACTCAAATTTATATGGAATCACTGGAGACCCTGAATTGTCAAAGCAGTCTTGAAAAAGAAAAGCAAAGTCGGAGGTATCACAAATCTGGAATTTATTTTTTTATTATTTTTATTTTTTTATCCAAAATCTGTTTATTGGGATAGTGTCCCACTCATCTTGATTCAGGGAGCTTTTAGTGCTGCTTCCACCTGAAGAAGCATCCTTCTGTAAGCCTTGATTTTCCTCCCGTGGGCTGGCAGAGGATGGTAGAGCAGCTGACACACAGAACTACCGTCTGTACATGGCTGAAGATGGTGGTGATTTTGTAGCATCCTGGGCACTTCACGTCGATGAAGTAGGAGTTGGGGCTCTGCACCAGGTGTTTCTTCTTGTGCTTCCTTTTCTCTTCCAGGGGCAGGTGCAGAAGATCCTTCACAAGGGGCATGTTCTCATAGGGAGGTCATCATCGCTGGAAAGGCAAATATGGTACTGTCACAAAAAATAGACACATGGATCAATAGAACAGAATAAACAACCAGAAATGAATCGACAAATATATGGTCAATTAATCTTTGACAAAGCAGGAAACAATGTCCAGTGGGAAAAGGACAGGACAGTCTCTTCAACATATGGTGTTGGGAAAACTGGACTGTAACATGCAGGAGAATGATACCGGACCATTTTCTTATACTATACACCAAAACAAATTCAAATGTTTTAAAAATCTAAAATGAGACATCAATCCATTAAAACTATTAAGCACACAAGGCAGTAACCTCTTTATTTATTTATTTATTTATTTATTTATATTTATATTTATATTTATATTTATATTTATATTTATATTTATATTTATATTTATATTTGTTTATTTTTTGGCAGTAACCTCTTTGACATTGGCCATAGCAACTTTTTTTCTAGATAGGTCCTCTGAGGTAGGGAAAGAAAAGCAAAATATATATTATTGGGAGTATATAAAAATAAAAATTTCTGTATAGCTAAGGAAACCAACAAGAAAACTAAAAGGCATCTTACAAGATGGGAGAAGATATTTTCAAATGATATATGTGATATAGTGTTAATAAATATAGTGTATATAACGAACTTATAAAACTCAAAAAAAAGAACTTATAAAACTCAATATCCAATATTTAAAAATCAGCAGAAGACATGAACAGACATTTCTCCAAAGTCATACAGATGGCCAAAAAAACACAGGAAGTGATGCTAAACATCACTTATTATTAGGGAAATGCAAATCAGAACTACAATGAGATATCACCTCATACTTGTCGGAATGGCTACAGTCAACAATACAAAAACTAAGAATTGTTAGTGAAGATGTGGAAAAGGAACCTTCATGCACTTTTGGTGGGAATGAAAACTGGTGCAGCCACTCTGGACAACAATTTGGAGATTCCTCAAAAAGTTAAAAATAAAACTACGCTATGATCTAGCAGTTGTCCTACTTAGATATTTACCCAAAGAATACAAAAATATTAATTCAAAAGGATCCATGATCCCCTACGTTTATTCCAGCATTATTTACTACAGCCAAGATATTTCAGCAGCCCAAGTGTCCATCAACTGTTGAGTGCATAAAGATTTGATGTACAGAGACGCCTGGGTGGCTCAGCGGTTGAGCACCTGCCTTTGGCTCAGGGTGTGACATCAGAGTCCAAAGGATCGAATCCTACATCAGGTTTCCTGCATGGAGCCTGCTTCTCCCTCTGCCAATGTCTCTGCCTCTCTCTCTCTCTCTCTCTCTCTCTCTCTCTCTGTCTCTCTCATAAATAAATAAAATCTTTACAAGAAGATTTAATGTACACATATAATAGCATATTATTCAGCCAAAAAATGAATGAAATCTTTCCATTTGTAATGACTTGGATGCAGCTAAGTAGTATAAAGCTAAGTGAAGGGGATCCCTGGGTGGCTCAGTGGTTTAGTGCCTGCCTTCAACCCAAGGCATGATCCTGGAGTCCTGGGATCAAGTCCCACATTGGGCTCCCTGTGTGGAGCCTGCTTTTCCCTCTGCCTGTGTATCTGCCCCCGCCCCTCTGTGTATGTCTCTCATGAATAAATAAATAAAATCTAAAAACAAAAACTAAGTGAAATATGTTAGTCAGAGAAAGACAAATAACATACAATTTCACTCATATGTGGAAATTAAGAAACAAAACAAATGAGCAAAGGAGAAAAAAGAGAGAGTGAGGCAAATCAAGATAGTCTCTTGAAAAGAAGAAATTGATGGTTACCAGAGGAGAGATAGATGTGGGGATGGGTTAAATAGGATACAGGGATTAAGGAGCGTACTTTTTGTGATGAACATTGGCTGATGTATGGAAGTGTTGAATCACTATATTGTACACCTTAAACTAATATTACACTGCATGTTAATTAACTGGTATTGAAATAAAAATGTAAATAAATAAAGTTAATCCATAAAAAGGAAAGCATAAAGCCAACTTACACAGTTTAAGCATGTATTGGCAAATATACATTTGATAAGGGATTAATATCCTAAATATTTTAAAACTACTAAAACTTGGGGATCCCAGGTGGTTCAGCAGTTTAGCACCACCCTCAGCCCAGGGTCTGATCCTGGAGACCCGGGATCAAGTCCCACATCAGGCTCCCTGCATACAGCCTGCTTCTCCCTCTGCCTCTGCCTCTGCCTCTCTCTCTCTCTCTCTCTCTCTCTCTCTCTCTCTCTCTCTGTGTGTGTGTGTGTCTCTCATGAATAAATAAAATCTTAAAAAAAAAACAAAATCCTACTAAAACTCAACAGAAATTAGTCCTATTAAAAATAGGCAAAATATCTGAATAAACATTTATCGACAGGAAAGATACAATGGCCAGCAAACATAGGAAAGGTTGCCCAACACCATTAGTCATCAGAAAAAGCAAGCCAAAACCACAGAGCAGTACCACTTCATATCTAATAGTACATCTATAAAATAATAATGATAATAATAAAGTATTTAAGATGCGGAGAAATTGGAAAACTTGTGCATTGCTTTGGAAACGTAAAGTGTAAAATGTAAAATTATGCTGCCACTGTGGAAGGCAGTTTGACAAAAGATTAAACATAAAACAACCATATGGCCAGGCAATTATAGTCCTAGGTATGTAAATTCAAAGGAGTATAAAACAAGAACTCAAATAGACATGTGCACACCTATGTTAATAATAGCATCATTCACAATAACCAAAAGATCGAAACAACCCAAGTACCCATTAACAGATAAATAAATGGATGAACAAAATATATATAATGGAATAATGTTCAGTTTTTTAAAGGAAAAACATTTTGATACATGCTATAACATGGATAATCCTTGAAAACATTGTGCTTTGTTAAATATTCCAGACAAAGAAAAAAATTATATTGTGTAATTCCACTTAATTGAGGTTTTTAAAATGGAAAATTCATAGAATGATAAAGTCAAATAGAGAATTCAGGAGCCTGGGAGGATCAGGGAAGAGGGAATTATTTTTTATGGATATAATGTTTTTATTAAAGTGATGAAAACTTTTGAATATAGATGGTAGAGATTGTTGTACAACACTGTGAAATATATTGAATGCTACTGACTGAATTATACACTTACAAATGGTTTAAGTGATAAATGTTATGTTATATATATTTTGACACAACAAAATGATTTGTAATTAAGTTTAAAAAAGTAATTAAAAAAAAAGCTAGAACAAGCTTCCCAAAAGAAGGAAACTAACATTGTGTACCTGTGGCTGAAATCTTTTAAATATCCCTTAAATATTTTCCTATAAATTATCTCATTCATAGTGAAACTGAGAGGTAGATATTATTATTGAACAGATGAGGAAGCCAAGGGTCAGTGATATTAAACTGCAAAGGCACTGGAGGAAAGAAGCATAAGAAAATAAAAGCAAAGGAGACCATGCACTGTAAGAGAAATCACTCAAAAAGTGTGATAATCTTAAACAATTCATCAAAAGCTGAAAGAAATTATAGATATCATAGTCACCCTAAAATTAGCTCCCAAAAGAGACCTAAAGGATTATCAGAAAATTGAAGAGGAATAAAAGCAAACTGTCAGAGGACAAGAAAAAGAGAAGCACGGAGATTAAAGCCACAAAAATATGACTGAAAACACAAAGATACAGTGGATTGGTTCAAGGGCATTAGATTAAACTAAGTGTAAATTTTCTCATATGTATTTGTAACAGCTGTGGTCAATATTCCCACTGAATTTAAATGACATTGATTCAAATCTTCATTCAGGGATTCCATCTTTTATTCCTTTTTTAAAAAGATTTTATTTATTTATCCATGAGAGACACACACATACACACAGAGGCAGAGACAGGCAGAGGGAGAAGCAGGCTCCTTGCAGGAAGCCCTATGTGGGACTCGATCCTGGGACTCTGGGATCACACCCTGAGCCTAGGCAGACACTCAACCGCTGAGCCACCCAGGCGTCCCTCAATCATTTTTTCTACATATTCCAGGTACTCTCATGTTTCTTACATTTGTCTTAGTCCTTCTGCATTCCTTCAACTGAATTTGTTCAATTTTCAGATCATCTCACTTTTTGAAGTATGTTGTCACTTCTCTCCACAATGTGGCCCCCTGCTAGTCTGTACTGAAATTCCTATGCTTTTTAACGTAAAAGAGGAGAATATTTACTGAAGTGTAGCAAACAACTTAAAAGTGAATTGAAAATATTTTCATTCTCTACCAAATTTGTTATTATTCCTGTCACAAAATTTCCTCATTGGACATTTTACTTGTCACTCAGCGTCAGACTCTGATTTTATTGCCTAATCTCAAGTCTCTCTTCACTAACTCTTTTCCTCTCTTGTGCCCTGTCCTCAAAATACTGGTAATTTTTTGGAAAAAAATGCTTATTTTTTCTACTTATTTTTAGGGTTTAGCTTTCTACCACTAAACCTGTCAAGGAATTTTCCTAAGTAAACACAGTTCTATCTTTGGGAGAAATATTGGAACCAACTTTTAAAATATTTTTTTACTGAGTCTATGTAATAGTACAATTTCATTTTTATTAAACTGTTATTTATGTATTTATTTATTTTTGGTATCCCGTGCTATTTATTATCAGTGTCTGAATTTCCCCCAAAAGTAACAGGGTTTTTTTTTAATCAAATAAAAAAATTACTTACATTTAAGTGATGCAATAATTATTCTGGCAATTTACAATAATGACTTAATAATGAGTCTTCCAATCCAAAAGAAATGTATTTCTCTCCAAATAGTGCATCCTTTGACTTCCAACAGTAAGGTTTAAGTTTTATGTGTAGTACCTAAAATAAAATAAAATAAATAAAATAAAATAAAATCAATAGCATATCTATTGTTAGGTTTACTCAATGGGTTTTCATGTTCTTTTTTTTCTAAAGATTTTTTATGTTTAAGTAATCTCTACATCCAACTTGAGACTT